TTTTACAATTGATTTAATTGTTAGTTACACTTTGTATCTGAATTTGTGTATAACTTGAATAAACCATAGTTTGACAGAAAATATTCCGTTTGAATTGAAAACCATTCACTAATTTAACGAATAATTTATTTCAAAACGGATTCCGCAGTCAAGAGAAACCACAAATTGATTGATTAGTTGAGCGAAGAATGAGTCAAAAGTCGATCAAATCGAGGAAATCAAAGGCAAAGAAAGCGATTTTAGGCAAAAAGAAGTCTTTGAAAGGAGTGGACATTCACTTTGTTTTGACGGATACTAAGTAACAATCGATTTGACGATGTGTTGGGTCTCCGGCCGGATGGGCGTCAAAGTCCTCTTAACCTTCTGGTTGTCGTCATTACTGTTGAGTTTCTGCAACTGTTTCACAATATTGACCGCATTTTCACTGATCACTTGCTCGGCGTTCGTCAACTCCATCGCCGGTCTGAAGACTTTCAGTTCAGTCACTGATAGTAAGAGTGAGAATGTGTTGAACCGATGGAAAAGCATTGCTACGAATTGTATGACGAGTACTGCATATAAAGCCAAAGAATATGACTAAAACTGATCCATAAATTAATGTTTTAAATATTTTTTGGCTATAATTAAAATATTTATTTCAAAATCACGACTAAGAATTTCATTACATAATTAGTTAATTACAATTAGAAACACTACTAAATCATTAAATTCAGTGCTAAGATAGCAATCATTTTACACATGATTTTTATAACAAATCAATTGGCGTTTTGTGGCAAAACATAAACTCCTAAAACTTAACGAATGGGTGAGAATGAGTTGGGACTCATCCAACGCGACCGCATCTTCGTGATCAATGGCACCGTATAGGCCACGCACTCATCCCAACCCGGTTTCCTCCACGCGCTCTCTCGGGTCTCTTTGCGCGCCAATAGGTTCTCATATTCTGTGCCATATATATGACTCAATTGTAGCGACAATTACTGACATATAGTGTGAAAAAACACTCACTCCAGATGTGGTGCACGACATACAACTGTCCGATTTGCGAGAAAAATCCGGCCACAGCGTCGTCCTTACGGAAGGTCACCCCTCGCGCCCAGTTGTTGCCCCACTCTATCATTGTTCCCGGCTGTAGGCATACATTCATTCGCACCATTACTTTGGTTTCAGGGAACCGGCAGTGAACGAGACATACCTTTAGGACATAAGATCTCATTTCGTACATAGAGTTGTGGACAGCAGGGGTCGGGTGACCCCAGAAGCTAAACGATAGCATGAATTGGTTTTGACGCTTTCGCAGGTGAGGTAAGAGCTCTTTATTAAGGGACTGGAGGTCGGAGTCGTTCTTAATATAATTGTCTACTTCCGAAGCCATACGCCATCCCTTATAGCGCCAGACGTGGACTTTGGTAATCGAAATACAATTGATTTGAATGTCTTATAACTGATAAAGAGTGGACACTAACTATACTGATCCTGGTCACCGATGGCCACTTTCCAACTGCCCACCAGTTCCGCGTTCGAGTTCTTCGTCTGCAACTGATTCGTCCACTTCTCACTTCATACCAACAAAACAGATATTCATTGAGTTGTTCTCG